AGTAGGCTACTGCTGTCCTTAGTGGGAGTGGGCTATTATTCCCAGCTTATAAAAGCAGTCCACACTTTTGCAAGGATTATACTTAATATATTCAGAGAAGCCTGCAATATCTATGTTCAGCATTTTAGTTATTGGTTTATCATGGTATTGTATAAATAATTGTATGGTCTCCCTTGCTTCCAGAATAGGTGTGGTATTGATTTAATGAAGTGTGTCAAAAGTGAAAAGGATATAGTGATGTGTGAGAGAACCTGCTGGTGTTAAAGGAAGCAAATTGTTATGCTTCAGCAATGCGAGAAAACTAAGTTATGTACCATATTACATTCATTTTAAATAACTTCGGGCACTCTTCATGTGGGACAAAAATGAAGATTATAATGGTAACTTATATACTTTTTCTCTGCGTTGCTTTCCCTGCCAAAAAAAAGATAAAAAATGTAATTAAATTCTTTATCTTTGATGAAAAATTTAACTTTCAAAGGAGGATTAACACCGCATCATCAGTAACCATGAGATGATTTGATCACTGCTAATTTGAACCTGAAATGCATCAGCATATAGAATTCAGTCAGCTTTGTGAATTAAGAGCCTCTGATGTCTGTATTAGAAATTTCCTGCAGATATAATTTATGTATCAAAGCTTCCATTCTACTTTTGTTACAGCATATGGTGGTTAGCTGGATGGTGCTTTATATTTTAGTGACAGTGTCTCATTGATATTCTGTACCATTTTCCACTGCTGAGGTAGAAATTCAGAATTGCTCTTTGCCAGTGAGTGTGAAAAGAGAGAATAATCTTTAGACATTTTGAACTCTATTTTTAAGTATTTGGCATAAAAATCATGGTTTTAAAATATTCTCTAGAAAAGAGTAGCTGTCACTTGCAAGTGTAGACACTGAGCATGTGCTCAGTATACAGTTCTCCAGTAAACACTCCAAGGAATTTTTTTTAATTAATGCATGAAGATTTATAACTCTGATTAATGGAAATAAAGCAGGTTCATGTCTGTCAGTTTGCCATTCTTGCTGTAATTTTTGCATGCTTAGTACAAAAAAAGTTAATTTAAGAATCGGATTGACAATTATACCAAGCGAGAAATTACAAAAATTGGCATAAAAAAACCAACAGTTTTTCTCAGAAGCCTAAATACATTTGCCTTGTTGAACTTGTGCCTTTTCAATTACGATATCTATTCTAGAGACATCCTGGAGTTTTATTCTGATTACCTATTTCATTTCATGAATAAAATTTACTGATAAAGTGGAACATCATCCAGATCACACACACCACTTAGAATTTGCAGAAATATCTACCGAAAGGGATGTTGCCAAGATTAATCTCAGATACATGTTTAAAAAAGAAAATGCAATTCTGGCCTATAAGCTACATTGCAGTGTCACTTTTTAATCTTTAGGAACCATGATGTTAAAGAAGAAGAACGTGCTAGCTACTGTTAAACTGGGTGGAGGAGATAGGGGCTAATAATTTTTCAATAAACTTGTTTCCTCTTGAGAAAGGACATAGTAGGTGGGAGGGGGCCCAGCTACGTGCTCCTGGAATGAATGGTGCCTCAGTTGGAAGGGGCACGGCTGGGGCTAGCTCACCCTCCCAGCCCCGTGCCAGTACTTTACGGGCACCTATACTGTGCAGCGTGAATCTCTGGTGGTGATTTTAAGGGCCCAGGGCTCCAGCCATACTACACATAGCTGGTCCCCAGGGCAGCTGCCCCTTTTGCACTTCCCCACCTTCTCCCACCATCGGCAGCCCTGAGAGAGGCTCTCCCTGTGCCTGTGGGGTATTTTCACCTTTCTCTGACACTTCATTTGATAGCATTTCTGTTGTCAGTTCTTTGAATTTTTTGTTTGAATTACAGGCATCTTAAGAGACCTAGACTCTGTTTTTATATTTACCTGGATGAGAAAATAATGGCTTCACTTTAAAAGGGTTATAATGCAGAAAGCATGAGTACTAAACACCAGTAAAATCAATGGCAAAAGTCTAATTGACTTCAGTAGAATCCAGGAATTCATCCAACGAGCGTGCTATGTTGTAAGATGCTGGGGTAAAATCATTGTGCTTTATATGGTTTTGACTCTCCTCTTTTCTACAGTTATTCTTTGGCGGTAGAATATAAAATATTTTCGTTGTCCACACATGGAATACTTGTTGTGTGGAATATATTATATGAATATAATAACCCTGTCACTTGCATCATTCTGTGGATTTAATGACGCTTTAGGATTTTCCATACTAAATCCTTATTTGCAGAAGGTTTCAATTCAACTAAATCTTATCTCTGGACTGAAACTTGGCATTAAAGATTTAAACCTGAGAGAGATTTTACTGGTTACATTTGGGGAAAAATGCTTGGTAATTTGAGAAATGAGCACAAGGAAAAACTAGAAAAGATTATTATATAACTAAATTCTACCCCAGTATAAGTTTTTTCCCCGTAGTGTGAATTATTCACTTGTAGTTATTGAACTTGTAGGTATCTTTTTCAATACTTACAAGTGAATAATTCACACTAAAAGCAATTTGAAAATAGTTTGTACAAATTGTGAATGTACTGTATTTTTGGTATATGAATTTATTGCATGTAGACATTGACACAATAGATGCAATATATAGTTTTGATCTGCAACTTAAAATGTCTTCCTATTTGCATTGACGTGGATCCAGTGAAGACTATCATGACAACTGACAATACAGGCAGTCCCCGGTTTACGTGGATCCGACTTATGTCGGATCCCTACTTACAAACGGGGTGAGGGAACCCTGAACTAGCTGCGCCCCCCCCCCCCACCAGCAGACTGCTGAGATGTGCCGCGGTGGTCCCACTGCCCGTGTCCT